TGATGTCATAAGATTCACACTATTTGATAAACCTAACCTATAAATGGTTTTTGCATTAAAAGCTTTCAGGTGAATAACATAAATAATCTTTACTATACCTGTCAGCAAGATCCTTTACACTGAATTCTTTGTTTTCCAGAAAAGACTGCACCATTGATCTGGTCCTCGCTGTGTCATCTGTGTATGTCAGAGCTTCCATTGATGGATAGTACGCAGCAGATAAATACTTGGCAAAAAGTTATGACATTTTTTTGTTTACATATTCTAATAAAAGTGACAACCTCTATAATGTCAGCAACATTGGGAAATGCCAGTGGTATGGCCACGGCTCTCATTGCTGCTCCATTTCCAAAGGAACCCTTCCCATTAAACTGCTCCTTGGCTGGAGTCAAGACATTGTTGTATTCTCCACTGCGAAGCTTCTCAAACACGTGAATGACCCCTGCACCATATCCACGGTCTGGATCATTGAAGTACTCCTTGGTAAACCTGTACATTAAAGAAAAAAAAAAGTGCGGTCAATCGTTATAAAACAGATGGTAGAAATCTTACGGACTTTCCAGCCACACTGTCATTTAATGTGTGTCTTAGTAGAGAGAAAAAACTCTATAAACATGTAGAAGGGGTGTCCAATTCCTTTTAAACTTCCCCTTAACATGATTGGATGCAAACAAATTGTTAAAGTGACATTAAACCCTCAGATTTTTTAACATAAACCAATACTGTAATGTGTGCATTACTGTAATCCATGGTTGTTTCCCTTCTCTTTGCTGCTCTTCCTTTTAAATCCTCATGTATTCTCATGCTGGGCAGAACTTCTGTTTTGCAGCAGACTGCCTTGTCTCTGAAATGGATACATGGTGTCTGTGTTCAGGTTCACAACCTGAGCCAGCACTACAGGAAGAGGCACTCAGCTGCAAAGGGAAGTTCCCTTTAAGCATGAGAAGACATGAGGATTTAAAAAGGAAGAGCAGCAAAGAGAAGGGAAACTACCATGGATTACAGTAAGGCGCACATTACAGTATTGGTTTATGTTAAAAAATCTGAGGGTTTAATGTCACTTTAAAGATTACAAATGGAATGGGTGGGTTTTTTTTATGCCAATATCAATTTAGAGCCAAGTGTTTAGGGCAACCTCACCATACTCTATGGAAATTGCAAGGCATATGTCCAGGCCCTTGGTATTCCCTGGTGCTCTCCCATCCACTTACTAAAACAGGCCCAACTCTACTTTGCTTCCAAGATGAAACGAGATGAGGCTTTCAGAGTAATGTGGCCTTGGCCAAAGCCTACAGCACCTGGTATTTTGCACAGATTACATACTAGTAAGGGATACACTGGGCATTGTGGAAGGTGCAGGGAGGAAGAGGACATCTGGTCATATTTTGCATAGTGACAGGTTCACTTTTATGAGTTACAACCAAATAAAATTGATTACTACATTTCTGTGGAACAAAGTAAGGTTCAATACCGCTCTATGATTTCTCATCTGTTCAGCATTTTTTCCTTAACGAACCGCCCCCCCCCCCCTCTGTTTAGAAAGTGATGTCATAAGATTCACACTATTTGATAAACCTAACCTATAAATGGTTTTTGCATTAAAAGCTTTCAGGTGAATAACATAAATAATCTTTACTATACCTGTCAGCAAGATCCTTTACACTGAATTCTTTGTTTTCCAGAAAAGACTGCACCATTGATCTGGTCATCGCTGTGTCATCTGTGTATGTCAGAGCTTCCAATATGAACACAAAA